GATTGTCCTTCAGCGTTTGCTAACTCAGGACAAGCGAATCAGAGGGCATCATGAGAAACATAACAAGTGAGCACGAGTACAGCAAAACTCCAGGGCCACACAAAGAAGTGCCCCCATTCCAGACTAAAAATAGAATCATTACTCTAAGTTCCAGCTTTATAAGGCCACAACAAAAACTACTGCTATGTACATACTACTTTGTGACCACCACACTACAGCAATTTTGACATTAAAAATACTGAGACTTGCACGAATTCTGCACTACATAATTTCTTTAAAGAAAAAAAAACACAGAAAGACAACAAAGATAATCAGAACAAATCAGCCAGTTGCTTTCCTACCTTGATTGTCAGACCAGAATAGGTCAGTGACTCAGTTTACTACTTTATTTTTAACAGTTTGCAAAGGCATAGATTTATGTTAGATGGGGGAAGTCTCCAGCAAGCCTCCAGTACTATCACTAATCCTGAATTAGTAAACCCTCGAGATGAAACAAAAAAGCCAGACTTACTCCTTGATCCAAATACTGACATTCTAAAAAGTGCTATCAATGTGCTAAACAGCCTACCAAATACTAAATTTTATCCAGAAAAAAACCCACAGTAAAATCCAAAATAACTAAAGGGAAATTACAATGTTTTAGAAAAAGAAAACCAACAGAAAGTCTGTAACATTAACAACACAAGCCTGGCAGCTCAGTTGTAATCTCTGAGGGACTACATGTGTGGAAGGGAATCTCTTTTTGTTATCACCAGGTGTAGCTGAATCTTACACCTGTGAGCCAAGTTTCTATGCTGTCATGCTACAAAATATTTAAGTGATAATGCCATCTGATTCTAGAATCATTTCCAATACACAGGATCTCTGCATTCTGGAGCTAAGTAAAAAAGAAAAACCCACAAAAAGAAGCACAGCCCAATCCAACTGTAAACAACTGATCTACAGAAGACAAAAGAAAAAAGGAAAAAAGCTTTCAGGTATACCACATTTCTACAGTTTTAAATGTATTTAGTAGAATATGAAGAAATCCAAGAACTTTCTTAGATTGCTAAAGCACATAAACATTTAAGCTAGATTTTTAACAGCAATGTGACCTCCTATGATTTCAGGAAAACAACTACTCGTTAGGCCTGTAAGGCTTATAAAGTCTACTAAATAAAATATTCCTCAGATAAGCTCCCTGTGTTCCCCCCTGTACCCCCCCAAATCCCACAATACTCAAGTGTTTTACCTTTAGGTTTAACAGAATAGAATCCAATGGCCTCCCCTTTCTTCCACATGATCTTAGCATAGTCATTGCTTCCATGACAGAGATATGGGATCTCATTTCTTTCCATTTCTCGTGTCCGATAGATAATTCGATTCAGAACGTAAAGAACAACCCTCTCTCCAACAGACTTCACCTAAAGAAACACAGAATAACGTTTTAGAAGAGTGGTCAGATTAGTTAATACCCACACACCAGGGATCTTGTTTTTCAAAGTTGCCAGTTAACACAGGTACAGACGGAGTCAAGACAAGCTGTTAAGTGCTAATGCAGGATGAAGCTCTGGGGTTTGTTTGTGGGCAAGGAGATGCTCGGAAGCCATAGCAATAGGTTAACTATAAAGCACTACCATAGACAGAGCATATTTCATGACTTCAATGTTATTCCTAATCCCATGGGTAAGAGCCAAGACAGTGCTGGGAGTGGGGCGGCGTGAGGGAAATGTTTTGATTTTAACTCAAAACTGTTTTCAGATTTAAGAAATATTCATCAAACACAAAAGCAGTACACCAATCTCAGACGTCCCAGGCTAGCAGGTAACTGAAGTCCTACAAAGGAGAAATGATGAGCCTCACGGGGTAGCAAGACTTGGCACACTCAGTCACTGCTGATAAAAAGGCAGACAACAGCACATGATGCAGTGGAAGAACCAGTTACAACAGGTTCTGTGGCATGAAACTAGGACCTCCATATCCTTTTCTCTGTCCTGCAGAGTTCCTTTTACACATTAAACTTAAGTTCACCGCTATCCTACCCACTGTGAAGGAATAATGTAGGAACCATGCTCTCTTCCCAATGCCCAGAGTCTCAGCTACCCTACCTGCAAAAGATTCAGCTTTCCCGATTTAACCAGCATCCTACCATTAAGAAGGCTACCTGCCAAATTTTCTAACGTAAATTAAAAAATTCAAAAATCCAAGATGAGTGCCCAGATTTCACAAGCAGATACAAATTGCACTCCTGGAAATAAACGGATTTCCAGTTTTGGAAAAAAACCAAAACTCCATGTTAGCTAGGTGTCAGTAATGGTAACTAAGGTCAATGATGAGCAATAAAGCAGATACCAGGCAACTTGCTTTCCCAGACTCATGTATTGCCACTGCAAGCCACCAGCTCCAACTCACCTCTATCAAACAGGTCCCCAACAACATTTTTAGCTTACTAGTCTCCTGATAATAGGTACTGCTATTGTACAATGCACCACTACTAAGATGTTTCAATACAACCAGACATATGATGTTCTAAAGAGCAAAGAAAAAATTCGTAACATCGTAAACATCTAAATAGCTTACATATGAATCTACTGTATGAGAGTCACTCTTGCTCTAGACACTATCTTCACAACCAAGTTCCCTTCCCCCTAGTGCCTATTCCTCTGTTCCCACTGACCTTCCTTCCAACTTCAACAGCCAACTCACTTCTGAATGAAATGAAAACATTTAACATCTCACACACTAGCTATTTAACATGACTTGCCATTATCTTGAAGGGTAAGAATAATTGCTAGGTGAATGTTGGAGCACCTTACCTGATGAAGCCCCTGTCTAGCAGGGACAGATGTTCTCACAATGTCATCAATTGACCACCACTTGTCAGAAAGATACAGGGCTGCAGCTTGAAAGAAACAAGGGGAAATAAAAAGTTAGTGATTCTTACCATTCCAAAAGAAACATATTCATTAAAGCTGATAAACAATTGGGAATAACACTGTAGTAACCAAGTTAAGCATCTTCTAAGTTGGCACATTATCAGTGCATGCCTTACTACCCTAGCCCAACAGATGTGGTGCTATACACACCACCACCCCACCACCACCACTCCCCAAATACACAATGCTCCCCAGTCCAAAACTTGTTTGAAAACTGAGAACAATAAAACCAAACACAGGTTTTGTGCAATATGACATACTGGAACTGTTTTTCAGACATAAGTTCCACCCCTCATCACTGTGCTCTAGCACCTCCTTACACTAAAAACTGAGCCTGCCAAGAGGAGTCTCATTCATACATGTATTTTAGTTTTTTATTGCTAACAGATATTGATACTGAAGTTTCAGGGAGTCAGATAAACGTAAAAAGCATGCTGGCCAGGTGATTAGCAATCAGGAAGAGTTTGATTTATGGACATTTGTGGCAAACTTGGCAATCATATACCTGAAGTAAATGGAAAGAGCAGGAAACCTGCAGGACTGGAAGGCAAGGGAGAACGGGAGTAAAAACCACCTAAACCCAGTAAGATGTCATCTTAGTCAGAGCTATGTTAGGATCTAAAACTAAAGACTAATTTGCACTTGATGCTGATCAATCACTGCTAATAAAGAGCATCTAAGTTCACGGGTAAGTTAATGGATTCTACGCTCAATAAACTCCTTTTGGAGAGGTGAGGCATACATCAAGATATCAAGAGATACATGTGAAGGGTATGTGAAGGACAACCAGGGGGATCAGGCCCAGCCATCACAGGTTCATGAAAGGCAGGTCCTGCTTAACCAACCTGACCTCCTTCTATGACCAGGTGACCCACCTAGTGGATGAAGGTAAGGCTGTGGACGTCATCTACCTGGACTTCAGTAAGGCCTTGATGCTGTTTCCCACAGCATCCTCCTGGAGAAACTAGCTGCGCATGGTTTGGATGGGTGTACTCTTCACTGGATAAAGAACTGGCTGAATGGCCAAGCGCAGAAAGTGGTGGTGAATGGAGTTAAATCCAGCTGGCAGCTGGTCACAAGTGATGTTCCCCAGGGCTCAGTTTTGGGTCCGGCCTTGTTTAACATCTTCATCGATGATCTGGATGAGGTGATTGAGTGCTCCCTCAGTAAGTTTGCAGATGACACCAAGCTGGGTGGGAGTGTCCATCTGCTCGAGGGTAGGAAGGCTCTGCAGAGGGATCCGGACACACCGGATCGATGGGCCAAGGCGAATTGTATGAAGTTCAACAAGGCCAATTGCCGGGTCCTGCACTTAGATAACAACACCACCATGCAACACTACAGGCTTGGGGAGGAGTGGCTGGAAAGCTGACCAGTGGAAAAGGACCTGGGGGTGCTGGCTGACAGCCGGCTGAACACGAGCCAGCAGTGTGTCCAGGTGGCCAAGAAGGCCAACGGCATCCTGGCTTGGATCAGGAATGGTGTGGCC